GGTAGCAGGTATATATAAGATCAAAACACAAACACACCCATCTTTTCTCAGGTTCATCAGATGCATCAGATCCATCAAGTCAATCCTCAAGAAGTCTGGAGCCTAGCCACTCCCAGCCACTCCGCCTCCAGTGCCGAGTGGCCCTCGGCGAACTCGTAGCGGCAATGTGCATCCCACAGATCGGACAACATCCGTTGATGCGCCGTGAGGCTTCCACGAGCCGCGGCCTGGAGATCCGTGCAGCTGAAGAGAAGGAGCTGCAGCCAGCGTGCGGTCAGAGACAGCGCGAGCATTGGGTGTGGGGCTCTCCGATGCAGGCAAGCTCTCTGAGTCGGCTTGGAGAGTTGTTTGAGGAGCTGATGCTCGGAGCCAACAGCAACGCGACAGCAATGCTCGGTGAGTTCCCCCGGTGCAAACCTCGACATGAGTCCGGTGGGCAGCTTCTTGAGGCCTTAGCCAAATTGAAAGATCTTGTATACTTACTGACTCATCCGGAGAAGAACCACCTGCAATGAAGTTTGATGAAGCACGTTCCGGGATCGTCGATGTTGCAGTTACTCTGCCCACGAGACACACTTTCCATTGCGCCACTACTTGGTATCCGCTGTTCCGATAAAAGGATTGAACAGGTATGTTTCGCACACACAAAACGGTCGCGTACTCCTCAGCGTCTGAAACCCTCCTCGAACTGCATGAAACACTCCAACTTCAAGTGGTCTGTTTATTCATGTCTCTTCCCCAAACACTCCATGGGATTGGCTACCTATACATTCCACCCGGAAACCACTCCAAAGGTATGTCAATATGAAAGGCCCCATGGTCGAGACCTGGGCTCTCATCTGACATATCCTTTTTGGATCAACCTCTCACATGCGCTTAGCTGATCTTCTCCGTTTTCTGCCCCAAACCATCTATGCATGGAATAGTCGCCTATATATACATTAAGGATTAAGGTATGAGTAAATGAATGCACATATAGACTAAAATGTTTATATATGCTAGATCCTATACACTAGGGTCACACATAGCTTAAATGATGTGTACAAACATATACAAACCATTCCAGTCCCATGGAGTGTGTTGGAGAAGAAAAAGAAAAGGAAAAAGAACGTTCCCCTCACCGCCCCGTTGCGGTTCTCCAGCGACGAGAACTCTGCCCCTTCTTCCGTTGCGGTTGCGACGAAGTGGTCGAGACGGAGCAGTCTTTGGCTTCCGACCCAAGGGGTTGAGACGAGACGACCATCACCGGACCGTGAAACAACGTCCCAGTTTCAGTGGGACGTTGGAAGATGCTTTGCTGGTAGGCAAAATTCTACTCAAAGGAGATGTGCGATCTCATTGGGGTGGCCAGGTTGGTCAATTACAAGAAAGACTTGCTCTGATCGAAGCTCGCAGCGATTGTTTGGCCAAACAACTTGGATAGCTTTGACTCTCAAGGAATCTCAGCTTAGGTGAGTGTCGAGAAACAACACCATCCACACACAAAGTGGTTGATTTCAAGTCGACAATCCGTCCAGCTATTCCAGGGGCCGAAACCTTCTGAGTGTCGCAAACAACACGTCGAATCGAGGCAAACCGATAGAAACAGTGGGTGACACCCCCCAAATCTCCCTCTGTATCATATATCCATTTTGGATATCATCGACTTAGACCTACCAGGAGTCACACATTTAGGGCCTGGGGCCTGGGTGGTTTTGTTTGTCCCTTCGCTCGGAGCCGGGGATGTGACAAGGGCACCCCTTTCAAACTGCTGGTAGTAGCTTCTTGCTCCTAGTAGTAAGGCCAGGAGCCCCGAACGTAGCGTTGCTCCTAGTAGACTAGTAGCAGCGTTCTTGTTCCTCTACCTTGATCTCCTCATTTGCACTTGCCGCGGCCACGCGCGCCGTCACCAGCGGCGTAACAGCGGCGGCTGCTTTTCGGCGGCGCTGCTACAGGTGCTGGATCGCATCCTTGGGCGAAGAACATCCGTCCACAGCAGCGGTCCATCCCATGAACGGATGGACCAAATCAGTGCGGGGGGGGGTGGTTGATTTGTATATTTGGTGTATATTGTCCAGTCCCATGGAGTGTCTGGGCAATCATGAGGTCCACATGACTTGAATAGACCTTTAAGTGTCCCATGAGATAGAGCTTGGCCCCGGGCCGAAACGATTGCCGGGCCAGACGACTCTATAGGTCTCCGAACTGGCTGAAATGCTTTAAAGTGGCCTGTGGTGACGCAGTGAGGGTGCTGATGGTCGAAAAAAAAGGTGTTTGGGGGAGTCACATCACCGGGTGTGAATTGAGATAGGGAAACCTACTCGACCTCCCAGTTCGACCTCCTGGAAGGTTCGACCAGTCTACCCATCGGGCCAAATTTTTTGGCCCAAAAGAACTCCCTTCCAGCACCCGACCACTGCGTCACCACCTGCCATGGAGATGGAGACCATTTGAGAGTCGGGGCCACACGTGCCACAAGTGCTCAAAGACTATTCAAAGATACACATCTGATGGGGCCGCCTGTCTCCTCCCATGCGAACTTCGGAACGAACAGTTGCAAGTTGCAACATGTTGCCCAACATGTTGCAACAACTTCAAGCATCTTGCAAGCCCCTTGAGGGGCACCCTGTGTGAGACTTTTTGGAGGATCCAGTGAGCTTCCAAAGGCTTTCAGAGAGGGATTTGCCGCATCCTTCAGGCAGTCTGCCCCGCTTCCTGAACACAAACGACCAAGAATATACCAGGAGCAAGGATGCTGATTGGGGCCTCTAGGGGCGCTCCTGGCCTTACTACGGGTGCAACGTTCGTAAACACCGGGCATCGTGACCGTGTTGTGAAGGTGTCGCGACGGCGGACGCGACCTCGCTATGCGTCAAGCGCGTCACGCCGGTGAGACGACGGGTCCACGCTGTCAGGACACATGCTGGGAGTATCTGAGTGCTTCCTGGTGGATCTCCTGGTCACAGAAAAGTGACTTCACAAATGGGCATGAATGACACGCAATGAATAGAACACGAGACAGAAACACAAGGGAACCTTGCGTTCTTGCTCTGACCACTCAAGCTGGGATCTACACAGCTTGCAAGGGCTTCTGGAAAAAACACATACAATAGTCATCAATAGTCATCTAGTGGATTCAGAGTAGGTGGCACAATCCCCGAGTTCAGAGGAGACCCCTATCTGTCTAAGACATCTTGGTGTTTGTGCCATTGCATATATCCCAAACACAGCTACATGGACCCCAAATCAACCACTACAACTGCTCCGTACATATGCCAGTCATTGCCAGTCCGAACATAACAAATCCCACCCCAAAAGGGAGAACATCGACGGACCTCGTGCGACGAACGGCAGTGTCGGTTGGTCATCACACCGGGCCCGTCCGAAATGGCGGAAACCAGGAAACCAAGACAAGTCTGCATAGAACATCTTTCTCCAGAATGGAAGAACACTCACTTCGGATTAGAGTACACTTGAGTACACATCGGTTGTACCGTAATTCCCATGTATTTAGCACTAGTTTGCACCCGTCCTGAATTTTCATCCTGTCAGGTCGGTCTCTGATGGTCTCGACCGAATTCGGTCGGCATCAGCTCGGCTCCGTACCGTGACCGGTCCTCCAAAATCTCTTTGTTCAGCGTGGAGCTGCGCAGTCCCGCCAAACGCCTCACCGGCCGGCTCTTCTCGCTTCGGCCCCGCAACGGGGACGGCACTTACAACGACTCCGTCGGTACTTCCGAAGAGGCTGCGCAGTTCCTTTTCGGTGCTGTTCGTCACATCGCCGTTTTTCTGGATGGGACTGGACATGTCAATTCTTTGCGACCTTGTCATTGTTACAGACAACCTTAATTACTGTGTGAAACATTTTTTGCGGGGTGAGTTCTTTTTGTTGCCAATTAAAAACATATGTTCTCTTTTTGGGGTGAGTTACTTTGTGCTTTCTGTGCGATTGTTTGAAGGCACGAGGCTTCATGATGATTAGGTGCAAGGCCCCGTGCCATGAGGAACTTGATGCCACAAGATGTTCGTGCTCTCTCCGTCTCCAACGAACAGGGCCCAACCACTGAGGGGCCTGGCTTCCGCCGGCCGATCTCCTACTTTCTTCGTGAATTGGTGGCGATGGCTAGCCATCCTTCTCAGAAAAACCGTGTCGATCGGACTTTTATCACGACCAATTCTTGGACACATAGATGACATCTAGATGACATAGATATTATAAACATAAAAAGCCGACGGAGGGCCCCTGATCTGATTTAACAACATCTTCACCTGGTCATTCTAGGCATATCTCCAGATCGTGTCTGGTTCAACCCAAACGCTCCAAAAAGCTCGCCAGGACCGGTGTTTGAACACCGGGATAGGTCCAGACCCCCTCCCTTTTTCGGAAGGTCGCCCTGGTAGACCCCCCTACCTTCGCACGCCCGCGCGCGGCGAAGAACGCACCACACGGCCCAGCCCCGTCCGAGTGAACGAGGCACTGCTTCAGCAGCGAGACGCACATCTTTCGTTCAGACTCCTTGGATGGCTGCAGTCGGTTGGGATCGAAAATCCCCAAACACTTTGAAGAGAAGAACACCGGAAGGGGATAGTGCTTACATGTGCTCTCTTTCCATCAAGATTTCCAACAACCCTAACCATCAAATGGGTCTGGAAGCTCTAGAAGATTTGCATACATTTGACCTATATTAAAACATCTGAAAACACTATAGGTAAAATACATTCCATATGGATTATTTGGGTCATACAAAAGGACAACAAGGCAAGGCAAATGACAAGCATATATCAACATCTCTCACAGTTTAGTAATAGAGTCGAGTGTTCCTGCACATCCATCAAAACCTGCACACAATGTTGTCTTATCGGCCTTTTTGACATTGCAACAATGCACTCTCCGACTCACGACATGATGCGGAAAAAATAAGGCCGGTTTCCATTCTGAGTGAGGAGTCCTGCAAGGGGCCAAGGGTCTCTACTTCCACGTGTTCCTTTAGAGTGTATACATCTTTTCAACAAGAAGCACTTCAGCTGATCTGACCACCCCAAACGCGACCGACCCTCCGTTCAGGGGTCTGGTGACCGGGACCGGTGACCCGAGGGTCGCCAACAGGAGCCAAGGCGCGCTGAGCTCCGCGGCCTCGAGGCAAAAGACCTCCCTCCCGGCCGACCGCGTTGGACCGGATCCGGGGCCCGCTGGGCTGGGACCGCGCCGAGGCGAGCGGACCGGGGTGGGGATGGAGGTCGTTCGGCGGCGCCTCTCAAGGATTGGAGGGGGGGGTGAGGTCTACCGTCATGCGACGTGGAGGAGGTTGTCGAATGCTCCTGGTCCCAGTAAGAGCAGTGTTGGTGGCACGAGGAGGTCTCCAGTAGATCCGTTTCTGACCGGGAAAAGCAATCCCAAGTCTTGACTCATGGGACCGTCATTTTTGCCGATTAGGCCAAGGGATGTAGGCATTTGCCAGTCCCATGGAGTGTCTGGGAATGTCCTTTGCCAGCACGGTGTCTTTTTAAAACGTTGGAAATAGGTGGCGTTGGTACCATATAGACTCTATAGACCTATTGGTTGTACAGTTATGCTATACACACTTGACTCCTCTTATTCCTATTAATCAACCAACCAATAGTCAAAAGCTATCTATGATGAAAACGCAGAAACGGCACCTGGATTCCTTTCATGTTCAGGTGCATCGCATATCAGCAGCCACCCAAATCAGCCGGCTTTGGATCGCATGAAAAACGAATCCGACCTCATCAGCTCCTCTCAAAAAGTTGATCCATGAACGATTGGTCCCAGACACTCCATAGTCCCATACAATTGCTACATTTGAGTTACATGGATGGATGGTGAAGTTCAAATGCCTTAAGGTTGAACAGGGCGGTCAATATTCCAGTGATCTGAGAGTGATTTGGAAAAGGTTTCCCATTGGAGGTGAATGTCTGGGCATTGGACTTGCATCCATCGGACGAGCGCAGTGGTTCAGGATGGTTCAGGAGTCAGATCTGTTCGCAACCACTTGGTCCCTCACGTCAACTGGCATGGTTTGTTCACTGAGGCTATGCCGAATAGATCTGAATAGTAAAATTATGTAACTATCCCGGACGCTCCAAAAAGGCCTTGGTCCCTCAAGACCATACGTAGGGATTTGAAGGTCCGGACCCCCCGGTCCCTGAACGGAGGGTCCAGACTTCGCGTCTGGGATGTATGATTTGGGTCATCTGGATTGAACAGATTAGGCCATGGAGATTCATCACTCGGAGATCCCTCTTCTACAGTGGATGCCACTTGACGCTTAAAGAGGTAGAAATCCAACGAAACAAACTGGGATTTGGTCGGTCACCAAGAAGTATTAGTCAACTCCGCACCTCGACCTCGACCCTTTTGCCCGTCCGATCTTCTCCCGATTCAGCGCGATCTTGATCAACAGATATATTAACGAGCATCTCCCCCATCAGAAGAATCGTTTCTAAATCAACATCTCAATAAAAAAGCAGCAGGTGTTCTGCCAATCCAAATTTAGTAACAAGTGCATCGCTACGTTCATAACATCTAGTAACAAGTGCATATACTACTATAGTAAGAAGAAGCCACTAGCAACAAGGTGCATCGCTACCTTCGTAGCTTCTTGCTAACTAGCAATGCTGCACTTGTTACTTAACAAGAAGCAGCCCAGCCCAGGGCTGCAGTGATCTGCTTTCTCCCCGCCTCTGAGACCAGGGCCTCGGCCAAGCCCGGCGTCTCGCGCCGCTCCTCGTTGAGCCTTGGCGGTGGACCGGACGGTCTCCGGTATGACATGGTCGTTCTGTCTGACATGTCTGCATACTGCCAGCCTACTGGTCTGACCAGCCCAGCCTATACTGCCTAATTGGAACGAGGCAAGGCACGACTGTATTGACAGGTGAACTTCCTGAAAGGTCCAAAGCATGATCCTTCCCTCAGCAGTAGGGTCTTGGTGTGGCCTTGGGCCTTGGTACAAGCTCCAGTCATTTGAGGTGGCAAAGAAAACAACATGAATCTTTTAGATCTCTCTTCAACGTAGAAATCATGTCCAACCATGTCTAAGATGCCATTCCCTAATATATGCGTGCGATTGTACGCCGAAAACTCATTCCAGCCCGCTCCGCTCCAGCCAATGCTTCCGACCAGCCAAGTATCCCGCCAACCAAACCAAGTTGCTTTCCGTGCATCTTCCGGGACACCAAATCTAACTTGCTGATTCTTGGCCTGATCCCTTCCAAGTTGGAGGCTGCCGGAGGCTTACTGGCCAGACCAAGAAGTGTCAGAAGAAGTGCCATGTCTGGTCCCCCCAAAAAAGGTGATCCCCGTGCCCGACATGCCGCCCAGGAGCGGACCCGGGCCACGCCTGGGCGTTCGTGACCGAGCGCTTTTTTGCTTGGCAGCAGTGTAGTACATGCCAGAGTTGGGCTATAACATGTTGTTTACATGGAAGCGCAGTACACCACAAATAGCCCAAAAGTCAGGGACATGTGTGACAATCTGACATGTGGGAAGCATGCTTAAAGATCATTTGAAGAGTAAAAACACCATGTTTGGAAAGAAAAGATCATCTTGCACCCACCGCTGACCCAAACAAACCATGCTTTTCATACCTTTCGCAGCCACCCAGGACCTTCCCAGCAACCTTTTGGAGTCTGATATAACCTTTTGCCGGCCTAAGTGACCTCAAACCAGGGGATCAAGACAGGTCACTGGGAAGACATTTCTCCCTTCTTAAAGACATGTCTCTCAAAGAGAAACAGGTCACTGGGATCAAAACAGGTCACAAGTTCTTTCATAATAGACATTTCCCCCTTCCTCGTTGCTGGACTCTTCCACAGCTCCCTGCTCCAAGCGACGGGCTCGTTTGGGGCGTGGAATCTGGCGAGACGGATCTCACCTGCCCCGTCGGCCTGGCGAGGTCATGTGATCCGGCATCACCTACGGTAGATGGACCAAATATTCAAACCCCTCAGTCGATGACTGTCACCAACCCCCGACCCCCAAAGGTTAGTGTTGAACACGGCTTCGTTGAATTTGTGTTGCTAAGAATGGCCTCCAACCTACTTGCGATGGCCTCCACCCTAGTAGCGATGACCTCCAACCTACTAGCAATGGCCAACAACCTACTAGGAATGGCCTTCAGGATGGCCTCCAATCTAGTAGCGATGGCGTTCACCTACTATAGCGATGGCCTCCAACGTACTTGCGATGGCCTCCAACCTAATAGCGATGGCCTCCGGTCCAACCTAAGAGCAATGGCCTCCAACCTAGTAGGGATGACCTCCAACCTACTAGCGATGGCCCTCCAACTCACTAGCGGTGGCCTCCACCCTAGTAGCGCGATGGCCTGCAATCTATTAGCAATCACTCAGTACTTGCAAGGGTGTTTTGCTTTTGGGACCCTGGGACCATGACCATACACTTTTCATTTCACTGTTGCATCCAATGAGCCATCCCAAGTGCGGGAAGTGACATTCATTTTGACTGATGCATGGAAATCACTCTTACGAATTCAGCTCTCCATCTCTTTCATTTCCAGCGACTTGGCCTTGGCCCCTCTGCCCGCTGTGCCACGGCCGTGGCGCGCGGCGAGGTCGTCTGCCGCGCGGCCATGGCTGCTTTGGTCTGCGGGGAGGCCTTGGCCTGGCGGAGCTCTGCGGCGGTCACCTTCGATGAACAGGGTCCATGAAGGCATACTGGGCCATCGGTCTGTGACTCTCTTTTTCGCAGGGCCATGGGATTTGGAAACCACTGGGCCGCAAGGTGAAGGGTGAAGGTCTTTTAGGGATTCTAGGGCCTCCTCTTGGCCCCGATTCACGGCCTGTTGCCCGCTCAACGAGATTGGAAAATAGCCGAAACAAAGGATGACGTGGACGGTGCTGAACCCAACAGCATCCACCTTTCCCAAAGACTCCATGGGACTGCCATACGTGGATCCTCCTTTGGGCGGAAAAAAGTGCCGGACCTCAATCCGGCAACATTCCGAAAAAAACGCCGGAGACGTGAAAAACATCCGGATCCAAGATTCTGAAAAACAGAGATGATAAAAGGTTGGATCATACACAAGGAAACTGCCTTTGCGCCACGAATAGTTTTTCTGGAGCACACTCATTCCACAGCCCAGCACTGGAGCCTTCCCGTTCCCATTGCCCTCGCCCATCTTCCGAATGGCCTAAGACCAGGACCATCACAAAATGGAAGCAACTCGTGCCCAAGCAAAGACTTCCAAGAAGAAACCAAGGAGCATGTGGCAAGGAACCCTTCTTTCTCTGCAACCGTGTCTCTAAAGTTGTTTGTTACAAAGTGGGTTGCTCTCCACGTTTCTTTAAAGCTTGCCTCAGGAAGGCCCCCGAAAGAAAGTAGCAGAACTCATGGTTCCTGTTGAAGAAAATCTTTTCAAAATCAAAACCTGCAGAAGACTCAGTCCAAAAAGTTATGCCGGAGTTACGGGAAATTACGCCGGAGTTGCGACGCGCCATTTTTTGGCAACTCTCTGCAAAACATTGAGATTCTGAACAACACATGTTCCACAGCCCAAAACTTGTCCGGCAGGCTCTGCAAACCTGCGCAGGAGTAGAACTATATCCCAGCGCCCCGACATCCTGAAACAATGGGAGTACGCTTTTGCCTATGTTCTTTCAGCTTAGGTGCACCCACTTGGGTCTTTCAACACGTGCATCGCACTGTACCGGCTTCATCCGGTTTCATTTAGAAGATCACCTAAACGGATCTGATTGATCCAGTGTGAGCCATGCTGAAACCGGTGGAATGAGAAAACAGCGGAACATGCAAACGAGCACACTTTGCAAACAAATTTCTTTGCATGAGTAGTGGGTTTACCTTCAAAGAAATGCAAATCACAAAGAATGCAAAGCCTTAAAAGTGCCGGACCAAATCCAGAAAAACGCCGGAGTTGGAAGTCCGGCGCCGGACCCTGTAAAAGCGCCGGACTGAAGATCTAGGTATATGTTTACATTGACCCCCCCTGGAACCACCCCAACTGATCGGCATATGTCTGGGATAGTCGACCCCCCCCAAAGACCCCCCTGAAAGGGTCACATCCCGTCACCCGTTGGTGCTAGATCAATGGTTTTGAGGGAACATCGACAGGAAGCCTTCTTTGGGATTCACAAGAAAAGCACTAACACTTCTGGGACTTGAGCGTTTTCGAACGTCCTCAAGATCATATATGTTCCCCATCGTGAGCAACTCTTCTTGGAATCCTGGGGTATTGAACTGGAACTGTTTGGACAGGCAGCCTACTCCTTTGTGTGACAACGGGAATGACGGGGAAACCAGTAAACTTTTGGATCTAGAAACAACCGTGGATTTGACAATATTTAACCGATGGTGAGCCACATTTGGGGGGGCATTCGAGCCATCATGTATTATGTATCACTGTATCACATCAATCATCACACATATTGCATGTCATTGTTGTCTCATGGATTCTGTGCCTCAATGAGGCGTCTTGAGGATTGTGTCTAAGACCATGTGAAGCGAGGAAGTTGACGAATAATCTTCGTACAGATTTGGGGTTTGAATGGACAATGTATCAGTGTGGATCCACAACTGAAACATAGCGCAACATCTCTTTGGCAAACATATCCCACCACCGACAGTTCAATGGAAACACGCCATCTGTTTACTTCCATACACCTCCGACAGAGCTCCATCTCGTCAGAACAGATGTTGGGGCCACCGATCTAGCCGCAAGGCACTCGATGGAACCAGTTGCAACTGGAACCAACGATCATGTTTGTCTGAATGTTTCCAACCACCGTGGCCGACCGAGACGTGGACCCGCGAGTCGTGCTATTGATTGTCGTGTCTCTGTTTTCTGCACCTTTGGCCAAGGTTCTCTCATTGATGACCTATATGGCCAGTGGCCCAATCAACCTCATTTGCTCGTTGAAACAGCCCCACTCCACCCAGCCCAAAAGGACAGACCTTGACACGCTTCTCCTCGCCCGCCAGGTACTTCAAGCTCTTCTCACGAGTGGCCGCATCCCTCAGGAAATCTGAGATGGATCAAATCTTGCTGTGCCCTCACCTCACGTCACCTCCCTCATTGACTTGCCACTTGAGTCACTTGATTCAGATCTGGGATGCCGTCTGTCTCCCTGTTCTCCCGTCCTATCGATCGTTCGGGCCTTCTCCCGGACACTCCCGTCCATCGGTCGCGAACGTCCGCTCGTCTGTCCGCGCCCAGGCGAGGTCCGCGCCGAGGAGCATCGAGACGACCTTCAAGCTGAAGGTGCTGGCCGCCAAGGCTTGCACGCTCATGCGATAATCCAGGTCCTTACAGTCCTCAAGCAGCACTGGCCGTAGAACAACGAGTGTCACATCCATATTAAATCAACAAAAATCATGTGAGATCAAAACCACACAACGTGTCATAGAGATGACCCCGTTCTGTTTTTTGGGGTTTAAGGCCTCATGCAATTGCAAACTTATGAAGGTTGTAGATCGCCCAAAATTCCTCTGGTCAGCCTGGCCACACCAAATATAAAACCATCAAATCCTCGAAGTTCCCCTGCTTGAGGACTCTCTGCTATCTGTGCCAGGTGATGTGTCTTATTGGACTCGTCCATTGGTCAATATCATCGAACCTCCCCAAATATGCCATTGACAAATGCTGACCAACGACTTGGATTGCCATCAAGCAGCTTGTTCCACCCTTTCGCACTGTGCTTGCAGGTACTGAACCGCTTCTTCCACCTGTTTCACAGAGTCGAAATCGAAACAAAACAACTCTTCGAGGCGCTTGGAGTCACCGAGAGGATGTTTTTTTGTTTTAGGCCATGGCAGTGAGGTACTTCCCACCGGGATCCTTTTCAGAAGGCGGAAACGGCGTCGGTCAAAAACACCATCGTGTGAGTGTGAAAAGTGAAGACCGGGAAGACCACACAGACTCTTCATGACTCTTCCTGGTTCTTCAAAGTGACCTAACTTGATAACCTGGTTGGTTCGGTCACAAACAAGCCTCCGAGTAGGGTCACGAACCTTCAAAGGGTCACGAACTGAAGAAGCTGGTTGAAGAAGGGTCACGCCCTTTGGATTGATAAACCTCATCACATGGGTCAGAGTCTACATGTTTTTTTACCACATTCCTATTCCCCAGGGCCCTAGGTTCACAAGTGGATCCAGGGCTGCCGGTGCGCCGTTTGGGGTGTCTTATTCTATGGCCGCGATCGACTCCGATCGAAGAAGGGCTGTCCATGTGTCCATGAATGCCTGGGAGCCGTCCATCGGGAGGGCCACCCCGCGGCTTTGTGCCGAACCCCCACAAGGTGACCGGTTTTTCAGTGTCAAAGATCGTCAAAGGGTGCTTTTATGTGGTTTTCAGGAATCGTTTTCTGCATGGCCCTTGCGATGGCACGAAAGAGATCGTACGTCCTGACTGGCAAAAATCGAAATTGCCAGCTCCTCACCGTAGTTGAGCAGTTCTGGGTTCATGCATCAACTCTTGGCTTTCGTGGTATCCACATGCTTGGGCATCCTAGACTTCCGACTTTTCCAGGAGCTGTCAGCCAGCTGCGTGCTACCCATGTTGGACGAAGTCTTGGTAGGTTTCTGAGTGTTTCCGAGACAGTTTCTTCGTGAACTCGTTTGAACAGAGTTCACAAGAATAAATTGATCACAGCGAGAGCATAGAAAGCATATAGAAAGCTGCTCTGCCATCCAACGTTTCTCGGTGCCAGGAATTCAGGGCCATCCAGGAAAGCATGCGGCAAACATGGCTGCCAAACGCTGCCTTCTAAGTCAACAAGAAGCAAGTAGCAAGTGACGCAGCCAACGCCGCCAGCTTCCAACAAAGCATGACCGCGCATCAAAGTCTGCAGATCGTAGGCAAAGAACATGGTCTGCAGATGTCTGCAGCACCATTCGGCGGGTCTGCTGTCTGCTGTCTGCAACCAGGTACCCGGCAAAAAGATCATGGAGTTCATCCAACTCTTGGATGGGCAGTTGAAGCCATGAGTGTTGGATTCAGGGCGGCCAGTGCGGCACACGCAACCCGCAACAAAAGGACAAGGATGAGAAAATATAAACTAACGAGTCCGTTCTGGAAGAGCTCGAGAAAAACTATGGTGAGCACGGACTTGAAAGATTCAGTGAAGTCGCTCCGTGTAAAGTGTAAATGAAACGCAGCTCAGAAAATTAAGGAAGCACCATGGTAGAAAATAGACCCCCCGTCCAAAAAGTTAGAAACCCCGCCCCACCCCGTGTTCTCACAAAGCAAGTCGGTTCCGGAAAAAGTCCGTTCCGGAATAGACATGCAGTAGCATAACATGTGCAACGTGTGTCATTTACCTCAACTGCACCCCCCACCCCATGAATCAGTTCCGGAAAAAGGAAAAAGTCGGTTCTGTTCCCAACAACACACAACTGCTAAGAGAGAGGTTTTTCAGGAAGGTGACCGACTCTCCCAGAAAACCCCAGGTTCGAAGCGGATCCGACCTCTCTTGGTCACTTACCTCTCTTGGTGGCGCATGCGACCGACCGTACTTCCCGTCAGGCCGTCTTCCCCACGACCCCGTGAGGGCATTGACCTGCCCGTCGGCAACGTCGGCAACGCCGAAACGGTCCGTCTGGTTTTCCCCGTGATTTCTGCCACCCCGCTCTCCCCCCCAAAAAAAGAAGTCATCACTGATCACCCCCAAAAACACGAGCTGTCTTGGACTGGCAGAGGTGGCCCATTCCCTTGTTTTGGCCAGGAGTAGACTGCAGGGGTCCATGTAGCTATCTCCTTGCAGCTCGATCTTCCAGTCCCCGGCCTCCCCAGTCCCTCTAAAGGAGTCGAGACGAAACGCCCAACTCGGCGCACCTCCAAGCGTAGCTGTCGAAAGGCGTCGCCATCGAAGGTGAGGCCATTGACCTGTGACGTAAATAAGACAACGGTGATATGACCGGTGATCAAACGTCTACGGCGCGATCGCTGAAGAGATGTGGGGAGGACGGAGGATTGACTGGATGGAGGATAGGGTGATGGTGGCAGAAGAGGATGGAAAATATGGGAATGCTGTTGAGGATGAAGAGGAGGATGTTGAGGATGATGCTAGGTGTCACCGTGCTAGGTGTCACCGCGCAGCTCCAGATCAGTGACAATATGCCAGATCAGTAGAGGTTGCACAAAGAGTTTCTGCAACAATACACAAGTTGCAACCAATCATATATAGTGAAGAACAATCTGTCTGCAAACATGAGAGGTCACGATCTCTCCTTTGGACAACCTCATTTTCTGCCAAATCCGAGCTCAAACGGCCCCCCCCCCCAAAGAGTTGAGGCTGATCTTCGACGGGTTGGCGGCTTCCGAGGTTGGGGGGTCATGGGCGCCTTGGCCAGACGGAGGCACGTTGAACCCAAATGGAAGGAAAGGGCGACCAGGGCGACCTGCACTGTATCGACCTGCTCCACGCATCCGACTCAACAGATCTCTTTTTGGCTTTGGAAGATTGAAGTGGTGACCTGCTAGTGAGGCTGCTGCCTTCTCGGCGTTAGAGTCGCGCCAGTGCAGGCCTTTCGACTGCCTTCCTGCGTGCCGGACGGCAGGCTGCCACAGCCCAGTTGTGCGCTCAGTGTCCTTACTCACCCTGGGTAGTATGCAACCAAGACCGCCAAGCGATGAGCGCGACGCAGAGAGCACAGCCGGTCTTGGTCAGACCAGTCGACCGGTCTTGCTCTTGTGGATCCTCCAACAGCTTCCAAGAGCCCCATTGGTTTGGCATAATTGATCTCGAGAAGGTGGGACTGGGGGCCGTCCAGTCCTACCTTCGCTAGGACTTGGGCGGAGCCCAAACCGACGACTGGAAGGCGAGTGCTGTTTGGCTCCATCTCCTTGGCTGACGACCGGCCGGAGCCACAGGGCTAACTAGTTTTATGTCCAAGGAGATGCAAAAGGACAAGGAGGATGAAGATGAAGGTGAAACATTGAGGAGGAACATGGAGCTGATGATAGCTATATATATATATTATTGTCTTAATTGAGTGAAAGGTATGTCATTAATCATTAGTCATTAGGTGATGTTGTCCATCCAACCCATTGATGCTTGATCCAAAGAAATAGAAGAGGAAGCCTCCCTTAAATGGCTCATCGTTTTTGAGGGCTGCGAAATCGAGCATTTGTTTGGAAGCACAGCAGCTCAGCCCCATTTCAGACCGTTTAATGACAATTCAATCCATGCCCGACCTATGTTGCCAGTACATCTCTGTTCCAAACGGCCTTCCAAAAACACCTCTTCTCAGGGCACGGTTGTACATCTCAGGTTTCAACAACACAACCTGCTCGGTCGGAGCGATCTGTAGCGATCTGCTCGTCGGCTCCCGGCTCCGATTCTCGCCTTCTCCTCCATGGCCATGGTGGTGGAGCTCACCCTGACGTGCCGGTGACATGCTGGTGACGTGCACTCAGATGATCACGGGACTGTGCAGAACGCAACCAGTGCAACCCACCCCTGGAGGGATCTGTTTTCGTACCTTCTCAGCTACTGTGAGCAGTGTTCGACCCTGTGATGTACTGTAATTAGGTGGTCTTGGGGGGTCCGTTGTCGTACCGAAGCTGAGGTACGGTGGCAGGATCTGATCCCTAGGGCACCAAAAGCTTCACATTGCTTCGCATGATCTGACCCTTGATCTGCGGAGTCCAGTCCTGTCTGACAAGGACTCAGTGGAGAAATCCGCGGACTCTTTGATGAACTTTGAAGGTCGAGTGGAACACCACATGCGTGGTGTTGTTTGCACTATAGACAATCTGATAGGCCGCAACTGAGAGGTGATCTTACCATGTTTGATCCATTTTGCCCACCCCAAGCGAGACACATTCTTCCTTGGGAAACGTGTCACAATAAGGAAGAGCATCTGTTGAAAGTCGTTCAGAATCAGGCCATTCCGTGCACCAGAGTTGCAGTCCAAATGCTCTGTGGAGCGTATGCAGCCTATAAATCAAGCAGGCTACGTGAGAAGCAGGACGCTCTTTGGAATGAACGACCTCGCTGTGGGAGCATCTTGGACTGCCTGGTCCACTATACCCATTGTCATCCTTCGACTGCTTTGGCCCTGTTCAGGAAAGTGCCAAACAAGCATGGGTTCTCCAACCTTAAACAGGCACACCCTCGCATCAGGTGAAGGAACGAAACACATGAAGGCAACCCATCACGTTTTCCAAGTCCAATAGTCGACCTTTGCATGTTCCACTGGAGGATCTTTAGAGAATCAAGAGTTGTTTGTGGGGCCCGACACACCTCAATGTCCGAGAAGAGAGGCTTGCCATGTGTCTGGACTCTTCAGAATCGCGACTCGCGACCAGGTGCCTTTTTTTTTCCAGTGCCAGTCTTCCTGCTTGAACCCTGTTGAACCAAAAATAACAGAGTCCATAAGTCACTGGGCCTACGCGTCTCGAGGAACGAACATCGAACCGTGCACCTCTTGATTTGCTCCGAACCCTCCTTCACGGTCTTCGAGAGCCTCGAAGAGCGTGAAAAAGAAGCAGTATGCGAGGGTCCAAGCTCGCATGTTGCGCTGGGGGGAGTAGATAGCCTAGTAGATTGGGATTATCAGGGTTGGTCTGGTCTTCCAGTACTGTGGTACCCACGCCCTCCTACTTGAGGAAGGAACTCTCCATGACCAGAAGACCTAAATGGCCATGCAAAGAACTTTTCCTGTAAACAGTGCCAAAGTAGCACAGAAACTGGTGCAGTATAGGGGCGTTCTTGCAACGTCGTTGCAAGTCGTTTGTTAGTGTCTTCAATTCCAGGACACTTGAACGTGTCATTCCTAAAAGCCAACAGGAAGTGCTGGAACCCTAGCACATCGAATCAAAATTGCAAGGCTTTTTGGCTTTACGCAATGCTTTTGGTGATATGTTAATGAGCAGGTCTATGGGTTTGTTTGCAGGTCGGGTTTAATGTTTAGCCTACGTATGTCCGTTGGGTTCTGGCGTGCCCTCCAAGCGGCGTGGTGAGGATCTCCCGATTGGCCTTCTCAGATGCCTGATGTGGCCGATTGGACATGGAGTGCACGCAAGCCATGAGATATATAATGGTTAATGGTACAAGTGATGCTTTTTGGGACTTCTGAGCATCACTTTTCAGAAAATTTACGACCTGTTTTGATCGTGGCGCGCGCTTGTGGGGCACCTTGCGTTCCGATAGGATTTTGTCAGGGGATTGCATCGGCTTAACTCCTGCGCCTATGAGAGTCCCGCGCGCGAGTCCACCTTGGGGGTTCAGGAGAGTCCCGCTCAGGCTGAGCCTGTGGAATGTGTCTGGTCCGAAGAACACGCCAAGTCTTTACCCTAGGGATCCAGTCGTACCTCCTCAAAAGGTACTTGGACCCTCCAAACCGACCCCAAACACCTTCTCAGAGGGGTACGACTGGATCCTTAGGGTTAGTGCACAAAAGACGTATACACCGTTCCATCGGTTGACAGTACCTGTGCTGGACCCGAATCTGACATCTCCTCGTCCACGCGACTCTTGGAGCCCCAGTTTCCTGGGTGACACCAGGAAACGACCGTACAAGTATGTCTGGTGATTCCACATGTCAACCAAATGTTTGGTTGCCTGGTGATGTTTGGTTAGCTGATGTTAGCTGTTTCTTTAACCTGGTGAAACCGGACGATCTGGTGTATGTTCAACCAGCAAGCCTGGGTCTTTGTCCGAAACGGACCTGTCCATTGGACCTGTCAGGGCCGAAATGTTGCCAGTTTGACCCTGGGACCAGTGGATGATGATGGGGCCGACATTTGCAGGCCTTTCCAGCTCCAAACTCGTTCTTGTTGACTGTTCAGTACAGCTACGCAATAGGCCAGGTTCTTGGGGAGCAGTGCCTCTTGACGAAAGAACACCCACCGGACCTTGGACCTTGGACCGAAGCGTGGCCCCAAGGAGTGCGTCCTTGACCGTCCGGCGTGACCACTCGGGCCGTCGTGATCATGTCCACTCGTTCCGCTCCTCGATGCGCGTGCGAAAGTCTCCCAGCTCTTCCTGCCAGCTCGACCGGTTCTTAAGCGGAAGGAGTGGAGGACAGGTGATGGGCTAGATGACAGACTTGGATCCAAATGATCCATGAATCGTGTCTACCAGGGGCCCGAAGCAAACCATGAAAAAGAAAGGTTTTCACATACAAAAACCATGTTTTTGGCTAGGGACAACCAGGTTTTTGATGGTGAACTGAGGGCCCCTGGTAGTTGGAGGCGTCTTCGCAGAGTAAGTACCTGTCTACCACCAAATCCAATCTTATGTTGACCGTTCAAACGCAAGCTGTTCAGACTGGTGACGTGCTGAAGAAGTGATTTGCACTGGACGCTCCTGCTACCCCTCACTTGGCCAGTGGCTTCACAGCTACGTCTATCATGCAGGATCTTCAAGACCCTGAAAGCTGTGACATGCGAGCGGATCCTCAATGCGGTGAATCCTCGTTTCTCTTAATCCGTGTCAGACACGGATCCAACTGCTTCTGACCAAGTGACACCAATTCACGCAAATTCACCTTGGGGTACTAAGGTCACCGCCCTCCTTGCTTTCCTTGTGCTCGCTGCTTGGTCTTTGGGTTGAGTTTCTAGTTGAAGATTTCTTCTGGAAGCCAATCGTGGACTTATCTCTCAAAACGCCGGCTTTGGACCGCAAACTCCAAACCGCTTTTTGAACCGAAAACTCCTTCAATGCACTAGAAGCTTGCGGGCGCTTGACTACCAACTTTACCCACAAAACGCCAACAAAACTTTAAATGAACAAACCAACATCCCGCCCAGTTTAAGCTTCAGACCGAAGAGCCAAGTCGTCATTTTGTCCGGTTCACTCCGCACCGGACCGCCTGGACGCTGCGCCGGAGGGCATCCAACGACCCGGTGACCCAGTCGCGGAGGCTCTCCGCCTGGCGGGCGAGGAGGGGGGGGGCGGTTCGTTCGTGCGACACATCTGCGTAAGTTGTAAGGTGTTTTACTCCGACTCGAAGGTCTTCAGTCTTCAGCCTGTTCAGAGGTGTTTGATGAATGATTTTTCACATCACCAGCTGTTGGATGAAGAGGAAAGGCCTGGTAGCTTCCGCAGCATGTCATGAAGTGTCCAGTTCAGGCAACAGTTCAAGGGCTATGAGTCAGGTGATGATGTGGGGGTGGGTCAAAACCTGGAGCCCTGGTCCACCATAGCTTAATCTTTCAGGAAATTTAATTAGGTCAACCAAACTATCCTGCTGCCATGACTCACAGCCATGTCCTTCATGTGTGTGATGGACGACGCACGGAATGCATCAGGCCAAAAGCTATCATCTGAATCATCTGAAGCATTTGCAATGCCCTGCCCACTCCACGTATGGAACATCTTGAACCCAAATCAACCACCCCAACTGATTGGTAACTACGCCAGTCCCATGGAGTATCTGGGCATGCGGCACCGACTCTTAGAAAATAAATAGAGTTTGGTCCCGAGAACTGATGCTAACAAAAACAGGCTGCCAGGGTGGGACGATCTATTCCCTAACTACCCGCCCCCTCCTGAGGTTCGGTGCTTGAGGTGGGTGCCAGGGGTTAACCACCTTCGGATATGGGACGTTCGGAGCCCTACGAAATTTGAACATCGGTCATCGAAATCCCCTCCACACCTACGGATCTGTTTTCGTACCGTACCTCAGGTACGGACTCTCCTGGCACCTAGGTGACAGGACTCTCCAGTCACCGGACGACCCTTGGAGTCTCGTGAAACCCGATGCCTGGCAGGTGTCTGACTGACCTTTTTCGAAATAGCTAATTTAACAAGAGCAAATATAACTAATGTTTAACAAAAAAACTACAGTAATATATTCACTAATTCAACAACCAATTTTTAATGTGTCCCAAATCCAAAAAGGGCCGTGTGTGGGGATCATGTGTCTGACCTCGGCACCTCCTGCGGGGCCCCAAAGCTTCGGAGTCCGGGAACACCCCGAACCATCTGGGGGAGGGTCCCAGCTCCGTGGAGGCGCACGTCGCGACGGCCGCCGCCCCCGGCCTGCCCAGCCGGCGGCGAAGAAGCGACCTTGGGGATGGGGCCTCTCGATGGCATCGCCTGGAGCAGAAGGACATCGCCGTGGTCCACATGAAAATCATCACATGCAGAATTACCTGCCAGGAGGATCCAGGAGGCCGTATGCGCTACATATGACTGAACCTGCCAGGAGAGCATTTTTGTGCTGTACATATGACGTCTATTGAACCTGCGAACGGAGATTTCGAGGAGATTTCACCCTAAACGATTTGCTTTTTGCGTTCAGACTTCACCTCGAGGCTCCTGTGTTTGGACCTCTAATAGCCCAATTACCTTAAGTATATAGACGTATATATATGTATATATGCTTGGAGGTCGAACGAAAAACGGGCAAATTGGAAAACGAGCAAACTGGCCGGATTCGCCCTCATGAAATCTGAGTGGGTTTTCACTCAGGGTCCAGGGATCACATGGAGTTAGGTGGTGTTTGGTCTCTGAGTGGAGTAGCTGGGCACCCCTAACCTCCATGGATCGCACTCCGTCGAACGCGACTCCTGGGTGAAATATGTTTTGTTTTTGCCCTTTGGCCGCCTCTCGTGGCCGTGGTCGAAAGGTGAAAAAAACGTATAGCACTGTGGTCCCGAGGCATGTACACAGCTCACAAAATTATCTGGGCAAGAGACCCCAAACAGTGTGTGTGAGGTCTGTAAGCAGAAAATCTAGAGATCTAGAATCTAGACGCATTGGAGTCCAGAGAGGTGATGGTGGTGATGAAGTGAATCTGGGTGTGAGTGAGTGTGGGTGAGAGGGAGTGTGAGTGTGAGTGAGAGTGGGAGAGTCAGTGTGAGTGCGAGTGTGAGTGAGGTTGAAGGTGGGTGAGAGTGAGAGTGAGAAAAAGAGTGAGAGTGAGAGTGTGAGTGAGTGCGAGAGTGAGAGTGAGAGTGAGAGTGAGAGTGAGAGTGAGAGTGAAGGTAGGTGCGAGTGAGTGTGGGTGAGAGTGGGTGAGTGTGAGTGCGAGTGTGTGCGTGTGAGTGCGAGTGTGAGTGGGAGTGAGTGGGTGTGAGTGTGAGGAGTGTGAGGAGTGGGAGTGTGAGTGTGAGTGTGAGTGCGAGTGTGAGTGAGAGTGAGAGTGGGGGTGTGAGGGAGTGTGAGTGCGAGTGAAAGTGGGAGAGTAAGAGTGGGAGAGTGAGAGAGTGAGCATCTGAGAGCACAAAGTACTGTGCCTGCCACGAAATCTGCACTTCGAGGTTCACCATGCGCTGTGCCTGCCACGAAAAACTGCGCCAGACATTGTTAAAACAAACGTTTCTGCAACTGGACATCAAACATTCAGCAGCAACTCCCAAGAACGACCGAGCAGGCCTGCAAACGAGACCTTGAGAGGAGGCAATGCGCATGGCGCATGAAGCATCTCCTCAAACCACCTTGCTTACACTACACAGCTTCCGGCTTACACAATCTTTTATAGCGACCTACTGTCAAACTAGCAGCGCGACAAAATGAAAAAGCGCACGAGCTGAGCCACGTGCTTCTGCATGATTCTGCATCTTGGAAACTGAAGCCAACCGTTTCGGCGCCTAGTCTCTGTCAGGACCCACAGTGGCCGCTGCAAGCACTGGGACCTTCGAGGTTCACAAAGTTCTGCAGCCTGCCACGAAATCTGCACTTCGAGGTTCACCAAGTGCTGCGCTTGCCACACTTCGAGGCTCACCAAGTGCTGCACCTGCCACGAAATCTGCACTTCGAGGTTCACCAAGTGCTGCGCCTGCCACGAAATCTGCACTTCGAGGTTCACCAAGTGCTGTAGCTGCCACGAAATCTGCACTTCGAGGTTCACCAAATCTACACATCGAGGGTCACAGAGTGCTGTGCCTGCCACGAAATTTGCACTTCGAGGTTCACCACCTGCTGTACCTGCCACGAAATCTGCACTTAAGTGCTGTACCAGCCACAAAATCTGCACTTCGAGGTTCACCAAGTGCTGCGCCTGCCACGAAATCTGCACTTCGAGGTTCACCATGCAAGTGCTGCGCCTGCCACGAAATCTGCAAACGAGGCACATGTCCAAAAGTCACGATTCACTGCACCTGTCACGAAATCAGAGCTCTTCGACGATCATCACACCATGTCCAAAGTGCTGCGCCTGCCACGAAAACTGCAGTTCGAAGTATAACAGCTCCGATCCCTTACACCTGTCATGAAAAGTCGACTTTGGAGCACCAAAGCACGAGGTTTCCCTTGCGCCTGAAAAGTGATCACTATGTGCGAAAATGCGCACGGCACCACAACGAGAGCGCAGCCCACGCAGATTTCGCGAGCCTGCGCAGTCGAAATGCACATTGACGATGTCGAGAGGCATGCGCTAGGAGGACAACCGGCTGCCCACCTTCAAACCAGACATTGAAATTCGCGCATCCGTGCTTTGTGTGAAGGAGCACGTCTGCAAGATGCACCATGTCCACCCCGCGGTTGTGAACAATGTCTGGCATTTCCGCGATGCGCCTCCATGCTTTTGGCACAATGCGGTCGACCAGCTCAGTTTGCGCAGCGGCGCTGCGAGGCCACAATTTGCGCACAACCACGCACTCCACCCACCATAGCAGCAGAACCGAGACCGAAGGCTATTTCGGCCCTGTTTGAACACCGTGTTTTTGCGTGAGGTCTGCGTGTAACCTTGCTGAGGACTGCTGTGTGTAGGGGTGTGGCGTGTCAATGCTGAGTGTAGTCACTAGGCTCGAGCCGAGGCTGCGTATCACAGCAGAATCTCAACACTGAGTCACTGAACCTTTTTCTTGTTTGGTGGGCCGCGGGTGGCAGGCAGATTCTAGCAACAGAGTCCGTGACACATGACAATCACTCAAGCAACATCAACTTCACCAACGTTGGTGGGCTTCCTGATGGCTACACAGATAGACGTGCAACATTGCAACGCAATCAAAGCTTGATTGCCCTCCTTCTTTTCCAGTGCGCTCTTCTACATCAATCAGGCGGCGTTGCGCCCATCAAGGGCACGTTCCCACAGCCACACAGCGTGGCTCAAGCACCACCACGCCTGCTCAGAGTGTTGGTCAACGTAGCCTGCAGCGAGGCGAGGCGCAAAAGGAAAAGAAGGATAAGAGTGAACGTCCTTGAGCTCAGGGTACGACGTTCAAAGCCCCAATCCTCCAACATCCACTCTTTCAAGTGGTGAGTGGAGTGGGCGCCTGGCCCGTTTCAATAAAACATTCTGCGAACCCTGTTGTCTGCGCGCCCCCGAACAAGTGTGGCTAGCCTCGCGAAGGGCTTTAATGTAGTCCTCCAAAGCCATGCCATTGTCCCGGATGTGGACATCTGCCTTGTGTGACATCTTGCACACACACACATACACACTTGCAAGAGTGATCAGATACCTGTTATATATCTGTCAAAAGGAAGGTGCTATGAGCTCTATTTTACTACTCACCAAGCCCCAAGCGTTCCTATCTGGCACCTCGTCCACCGATCGTTTGGCTCGCTGCCGGATCCCGCGGCCTCGACACAAAATTCAAGTGACAAACCTCTATAGGATGATCTAGATAGGCTCTAGACACACAACACGCTCATGTGTCTGAGTAGCCGTTGCCAGAGTTATCAGATACCTGTAATATGTGTCTCAAAAGGAAGGTTCTATGTTTTCATTTCAACAAGAAACACGAACCCAGTTGAAACTACTACTCACCAAGCCCCAAGCGTTCCTATCTGGCACCTCGTCCACTGCCGCCTCGACACAAAATTCGAGGGACAAACCTCTATAGGGTGATCTAGATAAACTCTAGACACACAATCATGTCCCTGAGTAGCCGTTAGTGCCTCCAAGTCTTGCACTGCCTGACGCAGTGCCTTGGAGAAATGGACCAATGCCGGTCCTTCCCATTTCTCGTTCACGCGGAGGTACGCGTGCCTGAGCAACGTCAACAAAAAGGCTTTGCCGCAACTGACATACAGCCAAGGGCATGACGCAGCGTCTCCGCGCTTGCCGGACACGCCCGCGCGGAACAGCGATCTAAGCACACCTGCTTTTCCACTACCGTAAGAACCCCTCAGTGTGCCCACACTGTTTGGGGAATAACGACAAGTCCATGGAAATAGGCGAGTCATCAATCACAAGCATCAATCAGTTTTGTTGATTTCGCCAAGAAGAACTTGTTCACACAAAGTGACTGAATAAAAACAGCCGGATAAAGCTTATGCATTCATAACATTTGGTTGTGTGGTGTTTGGCCCCCCATCCCATCCCAACCCAAGCTGCTCTGCACTCACTCTTTTTACCTGCTGTGGATCCTCCTGTGCTCCCTGAGACTTACAACTTCCAAGTTGCTCAGGGAGTTGTTCTGGGTGTCACCATCTTTGTGGTGCACCTCTTCTCTTGGGCCTAACTTCCTGCCCAACTTGTCCTGTAGGAGCTGCCTGTGGAATTGGACCCTCCTCCCACCCACCCTCAGTCCAACGTACAGGCCACTCCTACCTATCCTGGAGGTGCTCATGAATTCACCACTGGCAGCCAGTGGCACCCAATCACTCACTCCAGGATCCAGCTCCAGCCTCCCAACATGGTGCCACACTCCAACCACAGCACCATTGCTAGCCCAGTCTCTCATCAAGATTTCCTCCTCCATCTTGAGCCCAGGCTGTGGTGACCAAGGGGGGGTTGAACCCAAGCATGCTCAAGCAACCCTATGGCAAGAATACTGGTCCAAGCACCAGCCCAATTCACCAAAAGGGTGCTTATTGAGTAGTGTTGGTGCCCTGCTGTGTTCATTCCCCTTGGCCTCTTGGCTGGGCACTTCTTTAAATGACAAGGTGTCTGGGGGGCAGGGTGTGGGTGAAGAGGTGCCTTGAAGGGTGCACTACCAATACTTGCCAACTATCTTCCAGATCGAAGATTCTGTATTTCTTGACAGACTTGTGATCTTTGTGGGTGCACAATTGAATAGCCCCTCATGCCCACCACATTCAACCACCAAATGTAAAGAAATAAGATTGAAGGGATAATAATGGATAATATATAAAGATGTAGTCAATGTAGTCATAGGCCTTGGATGGCCTTGGGCTCTTCACACAGTGTTTTCACATCATGGAACTTCACAAAACATCGCGGCGCGGATGACATCAATCAACACCTGTGTTCCATGGCTTTTGCGGTACAAAGCGTTTCTTGAAGTTGTCGGTTGTTACTGTCAAAATGTTGGGGTGCGGGGGGCCCCTTTCAATTTGTTGAGCTAAATGCCACGTTCTGCGCATGTGTTCTCTGTAGTCCCATTTTTACGAGGGCGTTCAACTCTACGAGTGTCGGGGACCTTGGGTTGTGCAGAAGTATAAGTGAAAGTAACTTGGCGTCGTGGATGATTGCGGTTTCGTATCATTGCATGATCAAGTCATATAGTTTCACACGTTTGCTTAAGACCTCAGTGAGGGGTTGAGTTGTCTCTAAGGCTCTAAGGACTCCAATCCGTATAAGAGTTTCGAGGCAATCACGGCATGGTAAACCAAACGTTTCCACTTGTTGTTGCAGCTCGGTTTTGTGCCAAAAGATGTCTATAAGCGGTTCAAGGTGCAACTGGTTTCGTCCCAATGCGTCTTCCGATTTCTTGCGAAGGGAAAACTGACGCATAATACTCGGCGAAGCAATATTGCATTCATGACGCTGCCATTACTAAAGGGATGGTGCCATCCACGAGAACTGCCAATGCTGCATCTCGTTGAGCAAGAATTCTAAATAACACATTTGCGTCTCAATCACTCTAATTTGGCTTGCCGGCGCTTACCATCAACAAAAATCGCGCGCATAGTCAAAACAATATACCCAGACGCTCCGTTCACAGCCCCTGGTCCCTCAAAACCTAGGAATTTGAGACCCCAGACCCTCCAGTGCGGATTCGGGTCCAGGGTCGCGTCTGGGTAGGCTTAGGCAACCCTGAGGAACAACTCCGTCCGCTAGCGCCAGCCGCACTCGCGGAATCGTCCTTTGACCTTGGACGACTTTAAAACATCGGTTTCTTGTTGACCAACTTTGGATGCGGTTTCTCGTTCGGCATCGGGAACTGGAAGCCTCCCATGGGTGAAGCATATAAGTAATAATACATTTAGCTTCATCTTAATTCACAGTATAGAGATTATGTGCCTATTTATGCTAAATATATGCTTAAATAAGCATTTTGTTGCATACATAAAACACAACAAATACAAATCCACAAGAGATTGAACCGGATCATGAGATCACTCGAGATCACTTGAGTCACTTGGACCTGGAACTCACTGGGTAAAGCATGTCCCCCTAGTTTAATTGCAGCCAGTGGGATTTCTTCGGAACTGGCTTGGCGTTGCAGAACAAATATCACAACAGCCCTTTCAGAAGCTTTTCACCACCCTTTCTTCCTTTTCCGCCCAGTCCACAACTGACACAGTTGAAAGCTTCGACTCCGATCCTCGACCCGTCCGCTTCTCGACCCGCCGACGCAACAAGGCCTCCAATGCTTTCACTCTCTTCTCCAAGCGTTGGAGCTGCTCGGCCTGTCCAAAGCGTCGACGCTGCGAGCAGATTCTGCGAGCAGAAAACCGTCTCTTTCAATATCTATTCAACTACTACCAGCTGCTTCCAAGGGGTCACCAATGGACATCTCCACACTACTTACAGGTCTCCATTAAGGCACCCCTTGGAATCGCTAGATAAGCTTCCAGTATGATCCAGTCGTACCGTGCTTAAGGTTCGGTACGACTGGGCCCGACGTTTTGGACCTACATAACAGCGGGTTCGGAACGAAAACGGATCGGACTAAAGAGCCTATAGCCATTCCGACTTCGGCAAAGGACTCCCAGATCCCCGCTAAGTCGGGCTAAGCACTCCAAGGCACAACCATGACAAATCCCCAGCTGCAGTCGCTGTCTTGACGGACCAGTCGATAACATTTTAAAAACAACCTCACGGACTTCGCGAACCCCCTTGTGCGGTTCCCGCGGTTCCCACTCACGACCCCGCCGCAGGTGTTCGGCCAGCCGTCTGCCTCATGGCTATAGCTCCGCACGACCTCATCGGACACTTCCAGGGCTCCTGAGGCTCCGATCGCGGCTCCGATCGGCTCCGGAGCTCCAGGCTTCGGGCTACGATCCGCTTCTACACCGACACGAGAGATGCCGGACGGCCGGACGTGTTCTTCGCCGAAGAAGAAGACCTGGGGCGGTGGTGCCAGGGGGATCTTTCTGGGTCGGCAGTCCTATGATGGCAGTCCCAGTCTTGTGGAATGTTTGGGACAGGATCCAACTGAACCAAGGCACTAGGTGTCACGTTAAGCAAATGGATACCCAATAGAGACCAAACCGATCAAGGCCACACCACAACAAAGGCATGGGGACTTCAACATATGGATGAGCGCAAGAACGAACAGAATGAACAAACTGCAGTGTTTGGAGTGAGCGCCAAGTTATCCTATATTTTGGACATTCGATGTTGAATTTGGTGCCAATTGGGGTGCATCTGCTGGTGGCTCTGGTGCCGGCATGAAACCGCCACCGCCCTGCCGCCGGCCTCCATTGGGTCGCCCTGCGCCGAAGTCTTCGGTGCGCTCCGCCGAACTCTTCAACCAGTGCATCGCCGCCGAGGACGCCGGCGACGCCACGCAGAGTTCGGCCGCACAGGTCTAGACCGTCCAGCTCCGAACCCAAAAGCAACTGCGGGAGGTGAAAAACGGTCATGTGTTTGGGTGGAGTGGGGAGATGGAGATGGTCTGGAATGCTTGGTGGGCAATGTTTTTTTCCATGGTTTCTTTCTGTTTTTCACGTTGAACTTTAAAGGTCCGACCACTCCTTCAAGTGACATGGACATGAGGAAAGGACTTCTCGAACAAAGGAAAGCACACCCCCAAAGAATTGCGTTCCCACAGTTAGACAATGGATACCAAAATATACCAAAGATCCGCCCAGTTCAACATTTCTTGAATCGCACGCTTTGTTGGTTTGTACGTATATACAGTTCAATATAGTAAAATGCAAACCTAGTCCACGCAGGCACTAACACGGTCGCACATGTGGGAAGGGACTATTATAACTGGCCTTACTTGATTGAGAATAGCATCTACTTGGTTCGAGAACCAAATCCATCGATTCAGATAGTCGAGCAACTGTTAACGCATTGAACTTCACAACTCATCACAACTCTATTGAACCTGCACTTGCGCTGAATCACTTGGGTGCGGTTTCTTTTGAAACGCCAGATGCACCAATAATTCACTTTGAGGGACAAAGGGCAACCCATCCTGGAATCTGAGCCGCCCGGACATTGCATGGCAACATTTGGCAGAGGACAATCATCCAATCAGCGTTCTGCCTCCGTTGCATGTCTGCCTCAACTCTGCCCCACATTAGCTATTGCTGTATGAGTGTCGCAAGAACTTCGTGGGTGGGCTGGGTGGCATGACACAAAGCCAGCCGCAACCAATAATAACCTGCCCTGCACACGGGAACCCACGAGGGCTTCCACACAGGGCCAAGTGCCAAGAGCTACCACGAACTGTGCTTGGAATCAGCTGGGGTACTAGGCTCACCAGAAGTTGTTGCGGACATCTACGGCTACCACGCTGAAGCCGCGTGAGCTGACCAGCATGCCATCACGCAGCGGTGGGGCATCCTGTGGACTCTGATGGTTCCAGTCAGCCTTGATGACAAGAGCGCGCATACATGCTAGTTAACAAACAAACCGTCAGCACCTGATGTAGAACAAACCTATAATTGTAGTCCTAGGTCAAACGCATGAGCTTTCTAACTGGCCAAGCGACCTGCCAAAGCTTCGGAGCAGTCGTCTTACACACATTCCCCCTCCTACTTCCGTATGTCATGGATTGGGGCAGCGTATGCAAGGTACCTAGGTGTTCAGATGTCGCCACGGTGCGTTTCGTGACAATCACTTTGCCTATGTGTCCGGAGCATGTTGCTGCCGACCCCATGGTGTGGGACAGGTGCTCCGATAGCCGCCAGCTTGATCTGCGAAACAGACCGGTCCCGATGACCGGATGGCCATCGATCGAAGACAACGTCCATGGTCATAGGGTTGAGTCATCTGAGTTCAGCAGCCGGAGGCTGGACATCTCCGCTGTAACAGGATTCCAGTTGCCTCGCGGCCTCGTTCGGCCACAGTCGGTCCGTCCTGTAGAGGTTCCAGTGGGGGCCCTGATGAACTGGACCCCGCGTGAATCGGCGAGCTTCCGATGGAACTATCAGGATTCTTTAGAAAGCTTCTCCCAGTCAGGTCATTGTCAGGTATCTTCAAAGAAAATAAAGTTTAAAAGCAGCAAAAATCTGTGATGCCCAGATCACCCAAGGAACAATCTATGTGGCAGGTCCCACATTGTGTTAGGATCGTCGACGTGTGGTCTGACCGAGGGTCCCTCTGTTTTTGATGAAACAACGACGCGAAACGGCGCAATCGGCGGACGAACCGGCGAAACCTCGCGGCATCGCTACGAGGGATCCAATCTACTCCCGCTCCTACCCGGGTTCCAACAGCTTCTAGTCCTCTCAGAGACCATCCAAATGCGCTACCTATACCCGAGACCTGATACCGCAACTCCACATCGACGCAGCAACCTTACGCCAAAAGAGAAAGCACGCCAAGAACCAAAGCAACTCATCATCCCATTGGAGTGCCCCAGGGTCGACTTCCTGAATTCTTCACCATTCGCTCTGCACCTGCACTTCCCTCCGCTTCGTACCCAAAGCCTCCAATGCACCTGCCAGCGGCTAGCACTGCAGCCACTCAGCCCAGAGACCTTGGGGCAGCTCCGCATGGCAGGACATGGCAGGACTGGGTGTTTATCATGGCACCAGAACACTCCAAAACCAGGTTGACCACCTGAAATGGCAGCAGGGGGACCCGGGTTGACCACTGAACATGAACAGAATCCAAGGATTTGGGGTCCGGGTTTTGATCTAAATGAACAGAGAGTCACCGTGCCACCCAGGTGCCATGGTCAACCTACGAGGCTGCTGGGGCGGCTTTGACTCGTTAGCCATGTTTTGGGGCGGTTTTGACTGTGAAGACCTCGAAGGACTGTGAAGACCTCAGGGTTGGTCGCCGGCTGATGTCTTTTTCTCCACCGAGGAGTCTCAAATTGGCACCTCTCCCCACCACCCCAACCGAACACGCCACCAAAACGACTCCTGTTTCCATGCAACCTCTTCTTTTGATTCAAAAAGACAGCCAGTCAGCCACACTGAACCTCCCTTCCACCGGTCCACCAAACCACCCAACCACCCGACCCGATGCGCGCAGCAGCGATCCTGGGCGCTCCGGTCCCAGGTGAGCAGCAGCCAGGCCTCGCCCGCATCGGCGACCTCCAAGGCTTCGATGGGCGCCTGCGAAGAGAAGAGGCCTGCATTGACCAATACAGTATACTTTCGTGGTATTTAAAACGTACAGAAGTATAGCTTCTTGGTAAAGAAGTAGCTTCTTTATATGGAATTGGACATACTAGCAAGCTTCTTAGTTACTATAGTAATGCCAGGAGCTACGTTCGTAGCTTCCAATCGCTCCGTTCGTAGCGATGCACCTTATGGGCCAATTCTTTTCTATGGCCAAACAATGGGACATAATGCATTCATCCTGTGTGGACATCACACCTAAGGATTCGGTCGTGAGCCAAAATCTTATGATGTGCCAGTCAGAACGAGCATCATTCATGAGCTCCCCCGCCCCACACACGACATTGGTAGCATATATACCAGGACAATCACTGCCAGGCTCACCACCTGCCACTTTTAAGAAAAGCCCATTTCAGCCTTCCAGTGCGGAGGCAAACTATCAACATCCAGTCGTACTTTGGGTGATGTGTCGAGACCCTGTTTGTAGCCGGTGGTCTTGGGTCTGTGTTCGTACGGAAAAGCGCCTCAGCTTCGGTACCGACCACGGATTCCTCTAGGGATCCGCACCCAAAGACAACAAGGGTTAACGTTCGGGTACTAACCCCCTTGTTATAGAGGGTTCGCACCCCTTGCCATGGAGGGTCCAGACTCGGATCCTTAGGGTAGGGTATAGGCTTTCATCTCTCTGCACCACGTCCCTAACCAGCTTTGCACATCGATCTCGTGCCTTCGTGCCCGGCCCTTTGCCGACTTGCATCGGCGCCGCCAAACACGTTGGGAACAAGCCACGTCCCTTTTCAACAGGTATTGGAAGACTGTGCCATACCGTGCCACTATCTATTTGGGACCACTATAATTATATTAATTAGATTTAATTAGCAAGTTTAATTAGCATATGCCGTATCCGTATGATAGCTTCACATCCTCCGTGGATTGTCATCTTAATTACTATAGTGAAAAACACGACAGTATACCCTCATGTAGCCTCTATAAAATGAGACAAGATTCACGTGACTGTTCACCTGGTCTCCCCTCATCCACGCCAGGTGAACAGGGTGCCCATCTTCCGGGGCGCCGAACTGCACTGGCGGCCAGCTGTAAGATGCCGTCCTGACGGAACGAGAGTCGTGAGCGGCTCTGATGAGAACATAAGAGCTTCGATATTGCAGAACCTTTGTTTTCACTCATGGTCTTTTATATGTATTTATGGAAAGTCGACATGTGAACGCCCCTAGCTCCATAATATGCTAAACATGTCATCTACATGGTTCGCATCTACATGCCATCTGTATGTCATGACTCGTCCAGTCTCATCTTCCCTCTTGCTTCGGCGAGACGCAGAACTCGGTGCCGAGTCGGCGCAAAAGTGACGTCGGCGCGTCGGCGTGGTCACTCAAGGCTACCCACAACTCGCACTAAAGAACTCCCTCCGGACCTGGGGTCGAATCACCCGGTGAAGACTCTCTGCAAAGTGGTTTTGAGGGGGTCCAAGACTCTTCCCATCTGCAGGGAAGTAAGCTGGCTGGGTGGGGCTCTTCTCTGGACATCCGTGAGGGTTGCAGTGGCACCGAAAAATGCCCCACACGAAACACACGAAAAGCACCGTACAGTCTTTGCTTCAACACCATGTTTTCGGTGGGAAAGGTAAACCTCACCCTTCTCTTAGAGACTTGAACGAAAGCACATACTATACTGGTTTTAGAGTAAATGGCACTAGCACCCAAAGATGTCCTTTATGTTGGGGGTCCATCTAAACCACCAAACTGGGGGGGCCTGACCGTGGCATTTATCACCTCTGAAACCACGGTCGTATCTTTCAAGCTTGCAAACCAGGACATGCTGAAAACCGGCCCATATTTAGAAGAAAGCTGGGCCCTATAGACCAACAAGTGCCAGCTCTGGTCAGCCAACTGGCCTAAAGGTGACCTCCTCGACGGCTGCTGTCGCAGTTCCATGCATTTGGCGCTGGAGTCGTCGAGGGTCCACGAGCACGTCCGGACAGAGGGTCCACGAGCTCATCTGGAAGAGCTGCCCATGGGCTGCCCATGTAAAACCCCTCCAGTCCCACGGAGGAAGGAATTCCCTTCCTTTGAATTGACCCATCCAGGATCCGCACCCAAAGACAACAAGGGTTCTTTGCTTCGGGTACGACTAGTAGCCATTGTGAACAGCAAGCTTCGACTCCTTTCTAAGGACGGTCCGGACTCGAATCCTTAGGGGATCAGTTAAAGTTATA